AGGTATATATATATACTGTTTGTTTGTTACCGACTCACATCAAGCTCTGTCTATGATGTTCCAAGCCGCAGTATCCATCATATAGGTACAAGCACATTTAGCATATCCTACGCACGCATGTACAATGCACAATGCAGGTAAACATATATAACGTACTGTAAGTACAAATACGTTGGAGATCACAAGAGAGAGAGAGAGAGAGAGAGATGAGTCAAGTTGTCGTCTACTTTGCCATAGATGGGACGACTCCAATATAGGTAAGACTATATATGGCGAGTTTGCAGAAATGCAGTAAGTAAGTACGTTGTGCTTAAAAGAGCAACGATTGCACGGTTAGTATAATAGCGATGACTTGACCACAGTCTACATGTATATATATATATATATATATATATATGTGTGTTGTACTCTCTCGAGTGACATTATAACTTTGTAACAGTGTTCCACAGTAGTACTAGTGTAGAGTCTCGATACATAAATATATGTATAATGGTACTCGCGTTACGTCAAATATATAAGTTACGTGCATACGTATACATGCCACTTCCTGTTAAGCCCATTTCAAAGCTCGACTGAGGCCTGATAACAATAATAATAATAATAACAATAATAGGAATAGAAGTCCTTATCTAATAGGTTTGTTTCTTCCCCGGGTACGTATCATTTCGAGAGAAATATCGTGGAATTTTTCCTCCCGAACGTTATACGACCACCTTTTGTCTTTTCATGGGAGCGATCCTTATCTTCTTGTTGAACCGTTCTTGTATATTACATCTCGGAATGGAAGAGCTTGTTTCGATCCGATGTTTGCTTTACGACTGTTATTTCTAGGTTTTTTTTTTTTTTTTTCTTTTTTTTCTCGAGTTTTTGAAATTTTTAGTGGGAAAATTTTACAACCATACGATAAGATTTTTCGAACTTCTACGTCTCGTTCGAATGACTTAATTTTTTTTTTTTTTTTTTTCATTTAAAGTACAATGGTGTGCATTATACATGTATACGTGTAGTTTCATGAAACAAAGCTTCTTCAAACTATTTTTTTGGTTGTTTTTAAACATGATTCTTATACATGGTTTTTTATGTTTTGTTTTCACTAGAAAAAAAAAAAAATAAAGTTTCTACCGATTGTTTTTATCAGTATCACGATTAATCATTTTTTT